ATTCGAGCCACAATATTAACATAAAAATGACTTTCGTTGCATTTGACAATGATAAACTTACCGAAAAGCCGTGTTTTTCTCGGTCGGTATAATCCGCCATTTTATTTGTGTGTTTGCCACCAGGCTCTGCCAGGTGACGTCATCATGTGCGCTATAGAAGGAGGTATGTGATTCGTTGACTAAAATCGTCGATAGTGGGTCTCGTTGAAATCTCGTTACATAGGCATCGGTTCAGATGTAGGTAGGGCGGAATTAAAAAAAATCACAAAATCAAAATCAAAGTAAAATAATAAAATAAAAGGGCATTAATAACAAAAGTAATAAAAAATAAAATTAAAATAAGTTTATAGCCAAAATAATTAAAGCCCGTACACTACATCAGATTTTAATTAGATTGACGAATAGTATAATGTTTTAATAGTATTATGAAGTATAACACTATGAAGTTATGAAACCTTCATATGTATGTACCGAATTGATTTATAATTAAACATTGCCTTCTGTGAATTTGGAGATATAATATATAATATCCAACCAACATATGTTCCCCTGGGATGGGAAATGTCTTAGGGTAGTTTTTAGGTTTCACAAATAACTCCCACAAAAACATATTACAGAGATGCTATTATATCCCACCCACAAACATTTTTTAAAAACTTTCCTCCGACAAAGCAACATGATCCTACACTTCAGTATTTCCTTAACTTGACATGATAATCATAAATCATACTCATACTAACGTTGGCATATTTTTTTAAACAAACTAAATGAGACCAATTCCAGTCGCGTGGATGTGTTACCTTTTTATTTCTCTGAATGTATACGTCCAATCATGCATTGGCAACAACTGAGTGAAGGGATATTCTGATATCATTTGCGTTTAATATATATATATATTTGTGTATATCAATCACCATACCTAGCACACACATTCGTCAATCAGTTTAGTAATCAGCCAGAAAATAAGCACTAAATTACATATATATTGCTTGATAGATACTTTCTTATTTTAGTCCCGCCTAATGATAATAGATACATTATCTTGTTTCACGGCTGTATGCATGATTAGATTGGTGATAGATGTGTATCATATCTCGTAATGACTATTAACGCAAAATTGAAAATAAATTAATAGTACCGGATATGGATTGCGGAAAACTATTACTTATTCCGTCTAAGTGTAATATTTTAAAACCTACACTGTCAAATCTGTTTGCACGTTGTCGTAGGAGGAAGTGGATACCTGGAAATAATTATCTAATGACAAGTTCTATATATATATATATGTGTTCGATGCTTTTTACACGTGTCGCGTGAAACAGTGACGCTTTAAATGAAACCGGTTGTACATTCGCACATGACAGCAAATGCACTCATACTTGCCATGTTTGCATTGTTGAATAGTAGAGTGCTTACTTCGGGCAATCAATTGGCATTTATGCTTGTTTATATTCTCTCGTTTATAGTAATAGCGTGGGACACAAAGCATCCGCTTACTTGCAGGTTTTATGAACGTCCCTGGGACGAGGTCAAATATTAGGTAGCACGTTTTTCTGGATTGTGATCATGAAGGGCGTGGTGAATACCGAACTCGCGTTTATAAAGTTCATGGTGGAATTGTACGTTAAATGTTAATATGTTCCACGTTTGGTACATTAAGAAAACCAACAAAGGTTTTCATATAGGAGTTATCAATTTGCCAAAACGTTTTGAAAAAAACAAATAACACACACACAAAACGATATTCAATTTGAGGTTTAGGTGACCTAATTTATCTTTCAATTAACATTAGCGCATTACCGTTCTCCCAACGGCACAGGCCACTATAATAAATCACGTGAAAAGCACGTCCAGTAGGGATAATATCCAGGGATATAGTCATAGAAAGCTTCATAACGAACCGCAGACTAATAACAAATTGTTATTAGTATTAGAGTGAATGTAGAAGGGGTCGCACCCGTTGGGTGCCCCCAATGTAAAAGCGCGCCCCCCATAACCAAACATCGTGCGTCCCTGGATGCAAGGATACCGCCAAGACGTGGTATATGAGGTTCCCTGTAGTAGTGCAACATTATACGTCAAGATGCCGAGGTCAAGGACGACTAGGGCTGGTTTTTTATCGATTCTAACTTGTTATATACACGGGATGAAAAATGCGTTAAAATTTTACATTTTACAAGGTGTGCAATGTATACGTGTAAACGACACATACCTTCGATACGGTCGCCGTATTGGTCTCGTATTAGAGACTTCGTTTCCTGTAGTTTCTCTAGACTTCGAGCCACTATCACCAATCGCGATTTGCGCCTAGATGTATTGCGGGAAAGAATCTTGGCAGTACCGATGGCCAGATGTCGTCCAATCCCACGGCTGGCACCGGTGATGACGCAAAATATTGGTTGTTGTCCGTACACGGCTGTAGAAGCTGCTTTCGGTGTGCACGTCGCCATGTTGAATGAAACGAAAGTGCTGTTAGTATTGAGGTCATGTCATGCTTTGTTACGCACAGAGCTGAAAGACCCATTGGTCAGAGAATGGTGATGATTATAATAAGGTCGCGCTATCTACTATTGATTCTGCCTCAGGGTGTTATCTTCCAAGATTGTATGAAATGCTACAGTTACTTTGTAATTATTGTCTATTAAAAGCAACCGGCTCGTATCGGATAATGAACACATACAATAACTCGTAGACGAGCAGCTTATAACCACTATGTCCTCTCAAATGTTCCACTCCGCTCCCAGCGCCGACTTATGATGAGTTGGTGTCTAACGACTACCCAATTTGACGAATAGCTTTCAGTTGAAGAACAGAACTACTTGTTTGTGAAGCAGAATAGCAGTTGTATGGTTTTTTGCTAGAATCGATTCCAACCTAGACGATGCTTCTATGAGTTTTAGTAATAATGAACAAACAATATCAAATAGCAATTCAATCGTTTATTTCTACATTCATGAATGAATATCAAAATATAAACTTTTAATCATTAGTACCGCTAAATACCTAACTAGTTCAATACCTAATTAAAGCGCGGTGGTCGTCGCGTACAGCGCGTTTGGTTTTCATCCAAACAGACAATGTATTTTACAATCCTTGTATACATACGTCACTATGAGTCCCATATCGAACAGGACGCGGCACGACGACTACAACTTTATGATTCCGCCTTGGTTATCAAAGCTAATTTTGTACTTATTACACACTCGCCTTTTATCTATAGTGTACCGTGTTGTACATCAAATTCGGCGACCTCGAATTCGTTAAACCTAATGCAGATGCATAACATGTGTTTGTGTTAAAGTTGTATTGCCAGGAAAATTTTCTTTGAAGACTTTGTCACGTCAAGAATTATGCGCAATCTAATAAATTCAACATTTACGGTATTTTCAAGATACCTGCGTGTCTTGCCAAAGGCTGAACAATGTTTTTTTCTTCTGTAGACTCAGTTGTAAATGTGTTCAGCATTACATCAGGACTGTCAATCACACACAGATTTCTCTCTTCAAGATTGGATAAGGACAAGTATCATAAGTATCATAACATTCAATGTGAAGCATTTTCTATCAAGATTAGTCGAGAAGCACACCATACTCTCGAGTTGTTTTCAGTATAACTATTATGTCTTTCCGTGAATATTTTCGAAGGACATTGACCGTGTCCAATTGTCGACATTGAAAGAGCTGTCGGGTAAATTTTGTCGACAATACAACTTTAGAGAATTGAGCAGAAGGTCAAGGCCGAGTAATCTTAGAGCATGGAAGATACTAGTACTAAAGGACCATGCTTAGAAAGAGAGAGAGCTCCGATCCTAATACCGTTACATGCAGTGAATAATCATGAACGAGCGTGATAAACATCGAAAACAAAACAATCAAACAATTTAATAAAGATGGTCTATTTAATTCTGCCATTACGTCCCAGAACAATTTGTGTTAATGCCACTAGAACACTCCACGCGTTTTGCCATGTATCATTCACTTTCCACACCGCAACAGATGTGAATGTGTATGACCTACGTACTTGTACATATACTTTGTGTACGCATATAATATAGTATATAGAACAATGCTTTGCACGAAAATCACTCCAATGTCCAAAATGGAAAGCAAACTAAACAAAAACAAATCGCAGTTTAATTATTAAATTAAATCACGTTTTAAAATCAAAAAAATAATTGACAACATTTCTAATAGACTATGTACAATCACACATTTGAACCATACGTACCGATGGTGTGTATTAGCATGTAGACCAAAATCAAGGTCAAATCCATTACAGGATCGCCAGAATATTTGTTTTTTTCCGGCAAAACATTAAAAAAACAAAAACAAAAAAACACAACAACCATATTAAAAACATTTATCCGAACTACATTTCTATAAGTTAGCCGATATATATATATATATATATATATATATATATATATGACAAACAATACTAAATTCATACAAATAATTAGTAATAAGAACACTTCACTAATCAAAGAAACCATAAAGTACATCGAACAGTGTTACAACATAAGAAATACATTACCGGCATAAATAAACAACATATGCCATATTCCTACATATTGTAAATTGTCTTACTATTCACGGATAGTTTTATGTCCGCTCAACTATGTAAAAACTGTATTAACTCGTTAACCAAAAAAGAAATGTCACATTATCTTTACGGTATTAATAAAGAATTCTATTCTATTCTATTCTATTCTATTCTATTCTATTCTATTCTATTCTATTCTATTCTATTCTATTCTATTCTATTCTATTATATTCTATTCTATATACTCCCAAACACCGCAACCTGCCAGTGACATTGACTTGCCAGGAACATGAAACATTTCCTTTAATATTCCTTTACAGACACGAGTGTGGACTAAATCCTTAGACCCCCATATTGGAAATAGCCCCAACAATGATACGTACTCTGTGGGCGCTAATACTTAGTGTAGAGTGTAGGTGTTATATTTCCAATGTTAAAATACACATGAAGAGCTTCTATGTCTTAGGAAATGTCCAAAAGAAATCTAATAGTTTCGATTTTGAAAAATCTTGAATATTGATCAATAATATACATTGCGGCAAACGCAAAATGAAACATCGAATGAAACATCGGATTAACCAGTCGCTAATTTCAAAATAGGTCCCTGCCCTTGCGTGTACTCATACCAAAGCCTTACACTGGAAAATTAACTCGTGATGCGGGGTACCATGACGTGAACGATAGATCTTCGTGCTTTACTTTATGGACCCATGAAACACTAGTATATTACTTTATGTATCCATGAAACACTAGTATATTACTTTATATATCCATAAAACACTAGTATATTACTTTATGTACCCATGAAACACTAGTATATTACTTTATGTACCAATGAAACACTAGTATATTACTTTATGTACCCATAACACACTAGTATATTACTTTATGTATCTATGAATCACTAGTATATTACTTTATATATCCATGGAACACTAGTATATTACTTTATGTATCCATGAAACACTAGTATATTACTTTATGTATCCATAAAACACTAGTAAATTACTTTATGTATCCATGAAACACTAGTATATTACTTTATGTACCCATAAAATACTAGTGTATTACTTTATGTATCCATGAAACACTAGTATATTACTTTATGCATCCATAAAACACTAGTATATTACTTTATGTACCCGTAAACTACTAGTTTATTACTTCAGGTATCCATAAAACATTAGTATATTACTTTATGTATCCATGAAACACTAGTTAGTATATTGAGTTATGTATCCGTGAAACACTAGTATATTACTTAACGTATCTATGAAACACTAGTATATTACTTTGTGTATCTATGAAACACTAGTATATTACATTGTGTACCCGTGAAACACTAGTATATTACTTTATGTATCTATGAAACAATAGTATATTACTTTATGTATCCATGAAACTCTAGTATATTAATTTATATATCCGTGAAACACTAGTATATTACTTTATGTATCTATGAAACACTAGTATATTACTTTATGTATCCATGCAACTCTAGTATATTAATTTATATATCCG